TGCCTGGGCCCTAGCGCCTCCATCTGGGCAGTTGCGAGACTGGACTTCAAGAATCCGACTCGAGGATTCCGCCAAAGGTGATTTGCAAGGTCCGGTGTGTCCAGTGCTGCTCTAGACGTGCCAAGCACACCTGGCTCCTCGGATGGTTGCAGGGGCCACAGAGCAGCGTCCTCTGAGACAGATGACAGGGAGACCGCCTTTAGATGCAGCGTCACAAGCACCCTGGTTGTTTCAGTTGAGCGCCAGCTGGCCGGCTTGAGAGTGGGGAGGGGAGAACATTCCAGATCACAGGAGTGACACACCAGAAGCCCTGAGCTGGAGTGGATGATCTCTAAGGTGCATTTGAACTCTAAAAACCATGATTTTACTGCAAACAAAAGATTTGGAGACTTGACGGACAGCCAAAGGGGACCTGGAAATCGGATATTCCAGAAAACTAGCATGAAGGAGAAAGGAAAGCCATTAGCAAACACCTGTTGGGGGCCTAGATTAAGTGCTTAGGGCAGAGAAGCGGCCTGACTCGGAGGTGTGAAGGGAAGCCAGGTGGCAGGAAGATGGGTGTTCAGCTGTGGATGCAGCGGTGGACAGGAGGCATCGGATGCCATGGGGAGCCGGAACTGGCAGGTTCTTGCCGGGAGAGGGTGACACTGGGTCCTATTTCTTTTTCCTTAAAAAAAAAAAAAAATCCTTGCCCTAGCCGGCTTGGCTCAGTGGATAGAGCAGCCGTGGGCAAACTACGGCCCGCGGGCCAGATCCGGCCTGTTTGAAATGAATAAAACTAAAAAAAAAAAGACCGTACCCTTTTATGTAATGATGTTTACTTTGAATTTATATTAGTTCACACAAACACTCCATCCATGCTTTTGTTCCAGCCCTCCGGTCCAGTTTAAGAACCCATTGTGGCCCTCGAGTCAAAAAGTTTGCCCACCTCTGGGATAGAGTGTCAGCCTGCGGACTGAAGGGTCCCAGGTTCGATTCCGGCCGAGGGCACATGCCTGGGTTGCAGGCTCGTTCCCCAGTAGGGTGTGTGCAGGAGGCAGCCAATCAATGATTCTCTCTCATCATTGATGTTTCTATCTCTCTCCTTCTCCCTTCCTCTCTGAAATCAATAAAGAAATATATTTAAAAAAAATCCTCATCCGAAGATAGGTTTTTATTGATGTTAGAAAGGGAGGGAGAGAGAGAAACATTGATGTGAGAGTGAGCGAACCCGGAACCTTTTGGTGTATGGGATGATGCTCCAACCAACTGAGGCACCTGGCCAGGGCTGACCTTTAATAACACTTCCTTTTACTCTTAAAGATGTGCCAGTTGGTACAAACATGGATGGAGCACATTATTCCTAATAGGAAGAAACTGGAAGCAGCCCAGGTCCATCAGTGGGAGGATGGGAAAACAAGTGATGGTGTTTGGTACAATGGAATGCTACTCAGCACAGAAAGGCACAGGCAACTGCTACTCTCAGCAGCGTGGGTGAGTCGTGACTTCATGCTGAGTGGAAGGAGCCCTACCTAGGAGCGTACTTATGGTGTGATTCTATTTCCACGAAGCTTGAGAACTGGCAAATCCACTATGTGGTGGAAAAACAAGACAGTAGTCATTGTGTGTGAGGGGGCAGGAATTGAGTAGAAAAAGGCATGAAAGAACTTTCTGGGCTGATGGTAATGTCTATATATTTTTTCTTAATCCTCATTCAAGGATATGTTTTTATTGATTTTAGAGAGAAACATTGATGTGAGAGGGCTGCCTCTAGTACAGTGGTTCTCAACCTTCCTAATGCCGCGACCCTTTAATACAGTTCCTCATGTTGTGGTGACCCCCAATTCCGCCAATGGTGAATTAATCACAAAAACAATATGTAATTATATATGTGTTTTCCGATGGTCTTAGGCGACCCCTGTGAAAGGGTCCTTTGACCCCCAAAGGGGTCGCGACCCACAGGTTGAGAACCGCCGCTCTAGTACGTGCCCTGACTAGGGATCGAACTTGCAACCTAGGTATATGCCCTGACCAGGAATTGAACCTGCAACCTTTTGGTATATGGGATGATGCTCCAACCAACTGAGCCACCCAGCCAGTGCAATGTCTATACATTGATAGGGATTTGGGTTACACAGCTATATGCATTTGTCAAAACTCAGCAAGCATATAAGAAAAACGTATGTATTTCACCATTTGTAAATTTTACATTAAAAGAATAAACTAGAAACAAATGTTAAGCACAGGTTAACGTGCATTCTAAGGTATTAGGTCAAGGGTACTGATATCTGCATCCTACTTTGTAATGTATCAAAAAAGCTAAGATGGATAGATAAGGGAGGATGGACGGACAGCTATTTGATCAAGCAAGGAGAATGGAAGGCTCATGGGGGCATCCAGGTAGTGAGGATGTGTCCCTAATTGTCATCACCTCCTACATCAAACTTGCTGTCTCTCTTTGGGGCACTGCTTCTGCACCCCCAAGGTTCAGGGATTGGGAGGGCACACCATGCTTTTATATATCATGAAAGAACGTCCCAGACCTTTCTCAGCTTGAGCCTGGTGCTAGCCCTCATCCCGTGCCTGGTCTCAGAGGTTAAGAAACATGGTGTATGAGAAAGCTTGGGCAGACACAGACCTGACTCTGTCATTTCCTAATTGTGGGTTCTTTTTTTAACCCGGGCAAGCTACTTAATACCTCTCAGTTTTAGTTTCCTCATCTGTAAAATGGGTCACTCTAACCTCCGTGGCAGGGATTGCGGTGAGGAAATACTGTCTGAGAAGTTTGGGCAGGTTAATAAAATGTTCCACTTTTGTTTGCTCGGCACCCAGAGCAGTGGGTGGCTCGCAGTAAGCTCTCAATAGGCATTTAGGTGGCGTAGTGGTGCCCTGGGCTTCTCTCATGCGCTGTGTCCTTGCGGTCCCTCCACTCCCAGGGGACAGGTCCTGGCTGCACCTGCTGGCCACCACAGCCCTTCTTCCTGCCTTGGCGATCTCAGCCAGCCCCTTATTTTCAGGCATCCTTAATTTCTTCCTTTTCACAGACTGTTCATACATACGAAGTGGCATAATATAATGAAAATGATGTTTGAATTGGAGTAAAAAAAATATGTGCTCACACCTACAAAACTTTAACAAAGTATCTGATATATGTAAAACGCTTGATGGATATAAGCCATCATTTTAATGCAGGTGCTGGTTCTGATGATTTAATAATAGTAGTAGTCATAACAGCTAACACAATTGAGCATGTAGCCGGTGTCTGTGAGGATGCCAGTGCTATCCAATTTTATATATGGGAATTGAAGCTGGGCATCACAGAGCCAGGTTAAAAGCTAGGTCCCCCTGTCCCTAGAGCCTGTGCCCTTAACCTCTTGCCTTACTACCTCTGGGGACTTGTGTGCCACTTGGGACCTCTGACTCTTCAATTATAAGAGGGAGGAAGGGCAGCAATCCTGAGCACCAGGCTCTGTTGAGGCATTAAATAGTCATAGTACCAGGTCACATATGTCCTTGTCACTCACACGCATGTAGGTCTCTTCTGTGAGATCACCTATTCCATCCTTTTCCCACTCAGCACTGTGGTCTTGAGCCTTTGGTTGCTAAGTTCCGAGAAGGTGTGGTCTACTCCTACTACCCCACTTCCTCTCTTCTCGTGTGGGATCCCTTGCTCCCTCCCTGCTCCTCAGCCCCACAATATGGGATCATCTCTACAGGAGGAGTTTACTGGGAAGCAAAGTAGGATTTGGCCACAGGAGAGGTGAGTTCAAGTAGTAATGTCCACCACTGTTACTATGGTTTTGGACAAATCACTCAACCTGTTTGTGTGTCCTTGTCCTTGTCTACAGAACAGGAACATTAAGAATTCCCACCTCAAAGGATTTTGAGGCCGAAGGGAGAGGGCTCTACTTTGTCTTCACTTCCACCACCTATGTGTGCACCCCTAAACATCACAGTTTAGTTTCCAGATTGGTGTTTTTACTTTTGGGGTAGATGGACTGGATCCTTTCTTTCAACACTTTATTAAAGATTCACCCATGTTGTACATAGCCCTAGGCTGTCCTTTTCATTGCTATATATTAGTGCTTTGCACGAATATACCACAAGTGATTTATCTATTCCAATGTTGGTGGACATTTATTCCCTACCCCCAGGCTTTGGAAATTATGAACAATGCTGCCATTATATATGTGTACACACATATATACATATATGTTATATGTATTTAATTATATGTATTCTGGAGTTTGTGTTTCTATTGGGTATATGCTAGATGTGGAATTGT